ATTGAATATTTAATCAGATGAGATAAATGCTAATCAATTGAACACTTTTTTTCCTATGTAAATATATTCATAGTAAAATTGATGATCGTAATTGTTGATAATCTTTTTAACCATTTGCTTAATCTAATTGCAATCAGTTTATTTATGTTGTGCAATAGGTGCAAAAGTTTACTGATTATTTTTTTTCTCCAAGGTAAACAATTTAACTTTCATGTGCTAAATTATAACTGTAACAATTAATTGTTACACTTTTCTCCCGACTAATAATAGACTTGAGTTTTAACATTTGGTTTACATCCGATGATTAATTGATTACATAAAAAAGTTTTAATGGTCAAAAGTGCCTTAAGGCAGATGTAACATTGGGATGGATCTCATTTCTTATCAGATTAAGACAACCACCTCAATTGGGATTTTCTTGTAAACGCCAAAACAACAATCAAATCAACTTGGAAACAATTAACCACTAATCTTATATAATCAACTAATTGATCGATATTTTATCAGATTTAATTAGTTTTCCATTCATAACTTTATCGATTCATTGGATAATAGAATTTTTTTATATTCTTTCCAATTTCTGTAAACAACAAAAGCATAATTCTCTTGAACTTTTGTTCCCATGGTAAGAAACTGAATTCAATGTAGGTAAGTTCATTTTGAGAATGAATTTCTCTTCTCAAATAAGAATCAAATTTCAATTAAAATGATTTTTTTCTACAAAACAAAAAACATTGTATTCGTTTAATTAGATTGATGGAAGGAGAAAACTTTAGAATAACGATTAGATTCACATTTGTAATTCTCTAAAATGGACGAAAATTTTCTAATAGCAATTTAATTGATACAAATTTGGAGTTGAAATTTACCAAAATTCTCAAGAACTTGGAATAGGCTGAAAATAGACAATAAACAACAATATCTTATCCATTAGATGAAGAATTGTGTCTCGTAAATGTAACAAAATGAAAGTGAAAAGTTCAATCTTTAATTTGGAATTCGTTCAAGTGAAAGATAACATTGTCATTAGAAGAAGAAGTATTCGCTCAGTGTTATCATCAGTTGAATGATTAGATAGGTGGTAAAAGGTAAGATGATGATGAAACATCAACAGGAAGATGATGATATTTTCTTTTGCGATTAGTTGTAAACAATGTTGATAAAATTGTATCTGTTTTTGGCAAGTCAATTGAAGTGTATGATAAGTTTCAGAAACAGAGAATGAGGAAAAGTTTCAATATTTGTCTCAGGTGATTCTTGACTATAATCAGGTAAAATCCCAGAAATTTAGGTGAAAAGTTCAGAAAGGATTAGAAAAAGACATAGAATTGATTCACTTTACAAGGCTTAAGCACAGAAAAAGTGTAATCATTTTTATTTCTCTCTCTCTCTTTCTGTTATGCTAAGAGTGGAAAACCCTCCAGGCAATAATTTGAAAAAGAATGGGAAAAGTAAGCAAGATGAAGTTTCATCTCCATCTTCATCATGAGTGGAAGATAAAAAGTGAAAATCAAAACTATACCTGGAAAAAAACTCATCTCATCGATTGAACTTTCCTGACATTCAACATGATAGTAATTTTCTGCAGTTGTTTCTGTTTCAACCCTGAAACTTTTCCAGTGAAAAACATCATGGGCTCAGTTGCAGTAGATTATAATCTTACTCTTAATCTCAAATAATTATTATAAATCGTTTTTTCCCTAAAACCAAAATAATCATTAATTTCACGCGAATCAATATTTTCATCATTATCAGGGTGATTTTCGCTTCTATATTTGAACAATTACTGAATAGGTGAAGATAAAAGGTTATAAAGCACTGAGATTAAACTGAGACAAAATTTCTGGTGTGAATACATTGAGAGAAATTTCTGACAAAATGAATTAACGAAGAATTTTTTTCTCCTATTTTTAGTATTGTGAGAGAAATACTTTTTTTTCTCCATCTTTGACAACATTTCAAAGATGAAAACTCAACTTCTCTTCATGATAGCTGCTTCTTCTTTCATCTCATTCTGAATGAAATTTTTCAGGATGAAAACTCAGCAAGAATAGTTGACAATATTATCTAACTGCTGTTGCTTATGAAATCAATCTTATCCAAATACAGAGATAAATACCAGTTCATCTGTTATCATGGCCATTCTGTTTATTTAGGATAAGATAACTGAATTTTTTCTCTATTTACTGCTTGAATGTTGATTCAATTTGCAACAAATTTATCGATAATAATAAATCACAATTGTGAGTAATTAAAGTGATCCCATTAAGCGTTAGATGTTGGTTATCTTGGGATTTTTTACTTCAACTAATCATCTCTGAATGCTCTTCAAGTGATAGTATTTTGTTGATTGGTAGTGAAAAAATTCAGGCTGGATATTTACCTTGTATTCTTGCTCAGAACTTCACTCTCTCTCTCTCTCTCTCTCTTGGTCTATTTTATTCAGTTCAGAACTCACCTCTCAACAGCAAAGGTCAGTTTTGCAATTAGTTTAATTGGATGGAAAGTCAGAAAAAGTAAGAAAACCAAAAGAGAAAAAGAGAGACAAAAAAGTCATTTGATATTTCGAGGAAGTGAAAAACGAATCTTGAGCTGGAACAATTATGAAGACAAAAAGAGTTTAGTCTAGTCTAGAATCAATTCAGAACTTTTGATAGATATTCCTTTTTTCCTTCATTGGGTGTGACTTATTTGATGGTCAGATTTGATTCGGTTTCTCAGATATTCTCAAGTTGTTCAAAAGAATATTGATATTCATGCATATACCAATCTGATAACATGAATCAATATTCAGATAGAGTATGAATGAGAATAATCTTTTGAAAACAATAACATCGAAAAGAATTGAAACTGTTTTGATTGATAAGAAGCCTCAGGCTATTGGAAAAAAATTCACTGATTTCACTCAAGCTTTTGTCTTTTTCATGGCGATACACAAATCTCTGAATTTAAAGTAAACAATTTTTTCCTTGCCATTCTTCATTCGTATTCAATATTTAATCATGATTAGCAGACCTTATTTACTCTGTATGATTTTCAATGGATGTAAATTTATTCCTCCATGTGACAAAATGTTGAAATATCAAATTCACTTGACAAAAAGATCTGATGATGAACTGTGATGTTAAAAAATAAAATGGAATCAGTAACTCATCTGATTTAATTGAGATGTAATCTTGCTCTTCTATCAAAAAATGGCTGAATTATCAATATAATATTATAATTGTTTTCAAAGACTCCAAGAGGAAAAATATTCCAATACAATCTAAAGTTACTGAGAAAAGTTCTTAACAATTTTTCTCATCTTTTTAGATCGAATTACTTAATTTGCTTACCGTTTATTATAATTCAATCATATGGATCAAGGTAATTTCTCAGAATCTTGACTCTCTTGCAATGATTAAGTATTCCGCTAAAAATAATTCCTATTAACGTTTAAAACTAAATTGTTGTACAATTATTATAATGAATTGTAAAGCTAAAGGTGACATAGATATTAATTTGGGTGGGTCGTTGAACAATCAAAATTAAAATGAAAAAAAAAGTATGAATCAAGTCAATTGATGATATCAGTTAATGACTATCATGGTAATGATCAATATAATCATCGAGTTGAATGAACTTTGTTTGTCTTAAATAATGAATATTTCCAAGAGAAGATATAATTTTCACTTTATCATGAGAAATTTTCATTTATAATGATTATCATCATCATCATCATCTTATAAAACCTAAACCACAGCAAAAATATTATCTCTATTATCATGATAATAATTACATCATGAGCCTCTTCATGAGAGATAATAGTTTTATCATTATTGGTTTATCAGTTTCTTGAAATTCTTGTAAACCTTTTTTACTCAATTTCTTATCATAATAACAGGATATAATTATGTAAATGATTCTGACTGAATTTTAAGTTAACTCATGGTGATAATCAAGATTATATTTTTTTTCTTGTTGTTCCAGAATTTCCTTGTAAAGATAATCAAAGTCTTTTAATGTTATGAAATTTTCTCTCACTAATTTCACTTTAAACTGCATTTTCATTGCTTATCCCATGATGATGTTTACAAGTTACATGATTGAACTTTAAGTTGATTTTATCTATCAACTCATAACATGATAATCATGAAGGATAATAGTGAATACTAATGAGCTTTTTTGAAGAAAATGTTTATAACAAAATTTTCATTTTCTATTTTTATCATGTAACGTATTTTCCTTCAGAGTAACTACTCAGTCGGGACTCATGAACAATTGAAACTTTATTATCATTTTCAAAATGAAGGAGAACTCAATTTTATATGAGTTTCTATGAGTAAATAAATATTATTATCATTCTCTCAGTGTGTTATCATGTCTTGAAAGGGTCTCTGCTCACTAGAGTTTAATTATTAATCATATTGGAACATGATTTACATACTGAGAACTGTAATCTATTTGTTACTATGAAAGTTCAGTAATAATAAATTTCTTACTCAAAAACTGATAATATTTTTATGTAAAAATAATAATAATAATTTAGTTTCCAAAGTAAACAAGAAACTTTGATCCATTGAATATCGAAATTTTCAAAGAAAAATTGAGACTTTCGTGTTCTCTGGTGAGGTTTATCGAAATCACGAATATCTTTCATGATATTTAATTCGAAAGAATTTTTGAAAAGTTCTGTTGTTTGTCGTATCGAAATTTGCTTGTGAATATTTTGAGAGATAGAAAACTATCCATAAGTTAATCATGTCTTCAGGTTAATTATGGGTTAGATTCCAGGTTAATTGGTTAATGCTCGGTTAATCGAGATGAAACAAATTCAATTCTGTAGTTGAACTGAACAACAATAGATGTCAGCAGGAGAAACGTTCCATAGCTTTGGTTGTATGTATATAAAAGATACAATAACAGAATTTGTAATGAACAAGTATTACCTTTCTTTTAGTCTTTCTTTTTCCTCTTCTCTGTTTATCATCATGTTTCATGCTTCTCAACATCTTCATCATCATATCACCAAGACCTCTGGTGTTTAGATTTGTTGAAATGTTATTTTTTTCTGTTGCATTTTTGAACATTCTCAGTGTTGAACAATAATATTAAATGAACAACTTAATCTTAGTTTTACACCGAGAGAGATTCGTTAAAAGTTACATGCTCGTCTAGTGAAACAAACATGAATATCTAAAGTGAGCTCACTATGATTTATCATCCGAATTCAACATTTTCCTTATCAATTTTTGAGAAATAAACTTTTTCTTGATAATAACAAACTCAATGTTCACCTGAACATATAAAACTTTGATTCGAATCAATTATCGAACTGACTAGAGTTCAATTTGTGTTTTAATTGTTCTCTTTTTCTCTCTTACCTGTGATTTAATTCACTGAACAATAAGTGAATATTTATATTTGTGATATTCTTTTTCCTTATTTTCTCTGATACCGAAAGATGAAAAAAGTTCTGGAAAATTGGAAAATAATATTGACAGTTTACAATCTTTTTAAATTGTGCCCTCACTGCTAATTGTTGAAATTGTGATTTAAAACTGAGAATAAGCAAAATTGGAATATGATTATTATCAAATTGTTATCGATTTCTTTTTCGTCATTAATGGTTGAAGAAAAAAAGAGATGAAGATGATCAAATTAAAGAAAAGGATAAGAGTTGACAAAGAAAATGTTATCCTGACAATTTCTGTGAATTAAAATCTATTGTTTATCATTCGATATCTATGTGTGTCTCTTTATATGTTTATGTGACCTCATTTATCTTATTATATCATTAATCTTATCATCTTTATCATTTTCATCATCATCATCTCCTTATTATTATTATTATATATCTGATAAGTCAATTGTTGTTATCATTATATTGATATGATTATTATTATCATTACTATTGTTAAGTGTCAACTCGTTGGGTAGGGATAAGGTTTGGACAGGCTTTTAACAAGGCTGTTCAATCCTCCCCCTTAATCATCATCAAGATCACCTCTTTTACCATATCATCCATCATGCAACGGATTAAGGATAGTTTACGTAAAACATCATCACGTGACTCCTTAGATTCAACCTCTTCGACAACATCACTCGAACCAAAAGATCAACAAGTGCCAAGCTCACCAGCAAAGAGTCAATATCAATCTCACCAACATCATCATCATTTACTTCGTGCACCCTCATCACCGACTCCAAGTTGCTCGGGATCATTTTCTAGTGCCAATTCTAGTCATTCAAGGCCTAAACCTGGATCATTAGGTCCAGGTTTAGGTTTAGGTTCTAGTCTTGGTTCCAGGTTGGGCCATGTTAGCTCATCGTCGACTTTATCCTTACTCTCTGATCGTCGAGATGAGGTTACTTTTGAAACAGTTCGAATTGTCCCTCGAAGTGCTCGAAGTGAAGAGATAACAACAACTCCTGAATCAGATGAATCTTTAACTCCAAGTTACAATTTTCCTTCCACTTCATTTTCCTCTTCCTCTCCTTCTTGCCTCCACCAAACAGCAACAGCCCCAACACAACCATCCCCACCACCACCGCCAACAACAACAATAATAGCTACTACAGCATCCAACAAAGAGGTTGGAGGATCTCAAGGTACCTATGGATCATCACCAGTTCACCTTTCACCTAATATGCAACCTTGTGGTTCGCCCTCATTACAAGCTAATCAATTTCTGTCAACCAATTCTCCAAACCGATCAGGTCGATCTCGTTCATTTGATTCGGCTGCCGCTTCAGCTGCAGCATCAGGATCAAATGATGGATCGACTAACCGTTCAGGCAAAACTTACATTAAAACAACATCAACTTTCCTTGAACTTCCCAAATGGAAGATGCTAGTTCGTAATAAGAATTCATCTTCATCATCTACATCAGTTGCTCCCTATGAGCGAGATTGTGTTCATTGCATGTTAATGCACGAAATTAGTAAAGTCTCAACACTCACCGTACCCTCTGTATCCACACCTTATATTGGTTCAAGTAGTTATGGTAGCATGTTGAGTGATAACATTTCAACCTCATGTTCACCTCCACCCTCATCATCACCTTCAGTAAGTTCTGAGGGTTCAGTAGTTGAAGATTCAGATTCCGAGTCAATGGGATTAAGAACTGCTTCCCTTGGACAAAGTGAATCACTTGAAGATGAAGTTTTATCTGAGATACTTGACCCTGCAAATCTGCCGACCGTTACTTTGAGCTTGGCACCGGAAATTCAAATAATTGAAACGGAAGAAGATTCTGGTTTAACTGTTATCTCTTTAGAGGTTCCAGTCCTTCCAAAATCAGGTAGATCAGCATCAGTTGATTCTTCATATCTTCAAGTACCACAAAGGACCGATATTGGAATCGGAGAATCACCACCAGTTAAAGCTCAGCGATCACGATCAGTAGATGTCGCACTTCCAGTTGGTCCTGATGGACCTTACATTGTAGTTCCAACGGAAAAACCTCAGCCCATTATTACACAGTAAGAGAACTTGAAATATTCCTAAGAAAAACTATTTTCTCAAACGTGAGCAGAACACGAACACACAATTAACTCGGAATTTCATGATAATTGATTCTAAATGAAAGCTTTTTGTCTTTACAATTGTCTCTTTTTACCTTTGTTTTTGAATAATTTCGCTTCGTCAATGGAAAACTAGTTGACAAAAAAAAACAATGTTCTTTTCTTGTGTATCAAACTCAATCTTATTTTTTGCCTAGTTAAGCAAAGAATTACTCAGCATCATCATTATCTACAAGGAAGATAATGATGAATCTAATAAACCATAGTAACGTTAATGATAACTTATTGAATCCATGGGAGAAAATAAGAAAGTATAAAAAAAAAGTTCTATCATAAACAAAACTAGGATTCTTTTTCTTTCTGATCCACAACTTAATGAGATATTCACCAGGAAAACAGGATGATAACCTCACAGACTGAGGGTGGGGCTCATTTTTTAGCTCAGCAAAACTTGAAACAAACCTTAAGATGCAATCATGATAATGAGCATGTTGATGTTAACCATGATTGAAGCAAAATCGTATCTGTATGAACAGAAAATGAACTCTAAGCCCAATAGATGATCTCTCTCTCTCTCTCTCTCTCTCTCTCTCTCTCTCTCTCTCTCTGATCCAAATAGTTCTAATAATTTCTACCTAATCACTCAATCAAATTTGATTAGATTAATTATCGTTGCAAGCTCAATACCCCCGATAAGTCAATCTATCATCATGGATGTTTAACTTCTCTCTGGGTGATATTGAATTTTTCCACTTGATTGTCAACTCATCGGAAAAAAATATCAGTCAATATTTTGTATATTCTCAATATTTTGGAATCACCTTGGAATAATCAACCATGGTGAATGTACATATAATTATTACTAATGTGGAGGAAAAAATCTATTCTTTCTAAATTAGATATATATCATTTTTCTAGAAAAATATTCTCATCATAATTTATTCAATTTCATCATGTTAATTAATCAGTGTAAAAGTTGCGAATAAACCATTAGATTCATTTAAAAACAATCTAAACAATTTTCTCTAATTACTACTCATGGAAACAATTGATTCTTTCAAATGTTCCCATGAGATATAATCTAGTTTTCGATATCATTTGCTGAGAGATTCAACTTCAATCGACAACTCATCCAACTGATTAGAGTTTAATCATAAAACAATCAATTTGAAAACAGTGAAAAGAATTAGATTAGCCAATTAGATTAAAGGAGAAATGAAAACTAAATTCCTGAAAACTAATCTAATCTTGATATTGGATTACAAAGAAACGATTACTTGAACTTAATGTTGAGATAATCATAATCTCCAATCTGTTCACCTTGGTAATTAGTTTTGATAGTAAATATTAACCCTGAAATTGATAAGATTATTTCTCGAAAAGATGAGATTTGATTAGTTGACTAGTAATATTTTTCCACCATGAACCCTGAATGGTTACAGAAAATTTCATGTAATCTCATTTTTTTTCATCATGTTTACCTCGATAATGATGGAAGGCTCATTTCCATCAATCTTACTCAATGTTTCATCATTGTACCATCAATTTCAAGCAGAATTTTATCTCCTCCATGCATGAGGTTTTTTCTCCAATAACCTTCTCTACAGTTGCATGATATATCATGAGTTCTGAATACAGATTATCCTGGATAACATTTTCTCGATGGAGCAGTTAAATTTCTCAATTTTCAATATTTTCAGGGTGATTTAAGATGGTGCATGTTAATCTTACAAATTTATTTTTCAGACATCAACAGGTCATCAGAACTTAAGACTCAGAAAAGTTGAGCTACTCATGCGAGTATTTAGTAATTTTGTTTTGTTACAATAGAAAAAGTTGATTGTTAAAGTGACAAAACTGAAACTCGACTCAAGTCTAGTTCCTGAATCAGAATCCTTAGAATTTCAAGATTTATTTCTTTGTTCGAAAAGTTAGATATAGTTGAATATAAAGAATAGCAAACACTTTGAACTGAATAATGATTAACATCTAATGGAGAAAAATGAAAAAAATTGAGAGAAAACTTTTTATTTTGCTCTTCACAAACTCATTCTGAAAGTTCTGATGTTCCATGCAAGTTTAACTCGATTGCATGTAGAATTTTATAAAGCCCAAAGAGAGGTTAAAATAAATAGAATGAGAAAAAAATTCGTTTTTTAATCAATTGAAAATAATCGCTTCTCTGTTAAGGCGATTATCTATTCCAAGCTTTCTGATCAAATGAGCCATCATGTTGATCTTTTAGAATCACAACTCAAATAATATCATGATTACGAGGCTTAGCTTGTTCACTCAAGTTCCAACTGAATTCGCGAAACCAAAAGATTATATGAAAATGAATGAAATACATAAAGAGAAAAAAAAGTTGATCTAATAATCAGATTTCATGAAACTTTACCTTCTCCCCTGTTCTTATGAAATATATTTACCATAATTTCTGTGCCAATCAGAGTTTATCTTTACTTCCTGAGCGTGATACTAAAGTAGAGATAAGATATTGAACTTCCTGCTTTCTGGAAAATGATAATATCATTTCCTCAATTTGATAAACATTCATAGTTCTGGAGCTTCGATAATAATGATCTAGTTTTCATGACTTAAGCTCAGATAAAAAAAGTTCTGACTGCACAATATTGAAATTGTAAGAAAAAAAAAGTTCAATGATGTATCAATTTCTAATGGTGAATCATGTCGATGATAATTAAGATTGAAGATTTGAAAAGGATTCCTACTATCATGATAATCTCCGTTCTTGATTATTGTTCGAATCCTTTTTAGTAACAAAGGGAATCGAAAAGATAAAATTAACTTTTTTTCCTCATTATTATCTTGATCCATGTCTAAAGAATCTTTGGAACTTTTTTCTTTTCCATGAATCATCTTTTATCATCTTCTTTCTTTTTCTTATTGTCATCATCATAATCTTCATTCTCTATCCGTTCTTCCATGATGTTTGCTGTTATCATGTTAGGATTTAGTTGATTTGAGAATCTGAAGCAAATAAAGTATAAACAAATTTCCAGGCTGCTGGTTGTTCAGAAAAAGTTGAACGGAGCTCATGTAAGAACAAAATTCATTAAAGTTCAGTGTTTCAAGTTTATCATAATAATAAATGCGAATATCAATTGTTATTTACTCAACTTGAACTTGTAATTTTTTCTCATATAAAATTACAAGATGAATTTGTAAAAAAAATGTTGATTCAATTGCATCACCAAATTAGGTCAAACTATTAGAACATTATTATCGATTCGATTCACCTTGTTTTCTTATTACAATCAATTCTGTTCGTTGACCAATTACCTTTTCCATAGTTACATTTTCACTCAGGTGATTTAATTTTTTTCTCTCATGGATTTCATGAGCTTTTTTCTCATCATCAGAATTTTCATCAATTTCCCTCTTATTATCGTCTTCTCTCATCTTGAGAATCTTCTACCCGCTCCCCATGAAAGAAGCTATTCTCAACTTCATTCTCATTTTTTCATCATAGAATTTGATTCCTGGAATCTTCAAGGTTCTGCGCTACCATGGTGTAAGCTAACTATCTTTTTTACCTCTTCCATGATAGTAAAAGAAGAAGAAGAAGAAGAGAAAAACATTCAAGAGATACTTATGGAAGATAGAATCTTGAGAAATCTTCAATTCTATCAATATTGCCGTAAGGATTGAAAGATGAAGAAAAAAGTGAATGATGAAAAAAAGTCGACAAAAAAGAAGATGATAAAGGAAGAGCAATATTCCATAGGTTATTCTGATCTTGGGTTAGAATGGAGAAACAAATTGATTACTTTTATTCAGGTAAACAGCTTAAATTCATATTTGTGGTTATCTACCTTGAATTAAACAACCTTATCGATTCAGAATTTAAACATTTACATGATATCTTATCATCATCTTTTATCAAGATCATCACTTAATCTAATATCATCAAGATATTTATAGTAAGTGAGATAGGGGGAAAATGTGATAATCTTTTCTCAATATCAATACAAATTGAAAGATTCAAAATAATCTAGGTAATGGAAAACTGAGAAAATCAAAGTTTAGAATTGAGGAAATTGAAGTGAAAATTATAATAATCAATTTCATAATTGGAATGAGAATTCAGAACATTCTGTAGCATGAATAATAGATAATTTGAAAATCTAAACACAATTGAACATTAATTAAACTAATGAATACTAACTCATAGTCTAAATATGATCATTATCATTTCAAATTGTGTCATAAATGCTGGAAGATTATTGTTCAAGGTGATTATTTCATTGGGGAAAATTGTTCAGTTTCTTTTTGTGGGAATTGAATTTCCTCTCGAAAAAAGGTGTTCCATGTTTTCTGTAATTAAAATAATTGTTTCTGATCAATTATCATGAGAATGGATACAAACTGAAACATGGAAAACATTTACATCTACTGATAGAAAAGCCGAGCTAAAAATTTTCTCTCAATATTCTGTGACAAATTGTAAATACTGAATAATAATACTTGGGTTAGAACCTATTTTCACTCATCATGCTGACTTCGAAATTGTGTCAATCATTTCGAGAAATTTTCATTTGGGTTCACTCTTTGTTCTCTCACAGATATTATCATGGTGACAAGTTTTTTCACCGTGAAATGATAACAAGATATTCAATTGTCTTGTAATTCAATTTTTCTAGTAACCGATGACAATATAATGAGAGAGAGAGATGGAGAAAAAGTTCTGTCGAAATTTTTACAACCATGATGAGAGTATTCAAAAAAGAAGCGTTAATGAAGGTGAAATTACATGTATATTTGTATATCCATACATGGTAAATGTGAGAGAGTGGAATGAAATTCCGCCTCTTTCGTTGAGTCTTCAGGGTTATTTCACGGGAAGAAAATTCAGCCAAGATTAATGATGATTCTGATATAGTTTTTGATGAAAAATCTTTTGAAATTGTTATTCTTTGAGAAAAAAAAGAAAGAGA